TCCTAGCTTTCTTATTCCTTTATCACTTCACCTCCAATGCTGTATGTTGACACTGTCATATTGGCCTCTTGATTGCCAGCTGGACCTTTGGTGAGGATAACATTGTTGCCCCTGTTCTTGAAAGAATAATCGGCACATCTTTTAAATTAATGCACTTAGCCTTAGCCCGTATAGCCACGTGTAAAGCATACAGTTTTTAGTATAAAGAAAAATACTTTTCCATACAGTGCAAACCTTCACTTTTTAATTTTCATTTCAAAAACTCCAGTATTTGTCTGCTATAGAATTATAGTAGATGAGTTTTTCTCTATTTAACTATCATTTTGATTAGCATATTGTAAAAGAAGGGTGAGGAAAATGAATAATGAGGAAGACAGCCTTTGAATCTTCATAGTTTTGAGGCTACCAAAAAAAAATTCAAATCAAGGCAGCTCTGAAGATCTGTCTCTGTGTCTTTGTCAGAGTTTGCCACTGTTCCAGTCTAGGATCCTGTATCTCAACTCGAGACATTTTGGATCCTCACAGACAGCTGTAACTTCTGGGCTGACAAACATTTTCACTGGTATTAAATAACTTGAGTACAGCTGGATAGGAAGTGATTACATTGTTCAGTAGCAATTCCTAGTAGGCCTTACATTAAAAATCTGCTGGAAATAATCAATGGATAGATTGTCTTTGTTTAAAAAAAAAAGAAACAAAAAACAAGAAAAAAACCAAAACCAGCAGCTACTTAAATACTTCAGAAGTATTAAAACAGCTCTTATGAAATAAAAATACCAGCAACAAGCAAAACTCCATTTCCAAACAAGGAAGATTTTTCACAGTGGAAATGGTTAAGCAAAAGAACAAGGTGCCTAAAAATGCAATGAAATCTGCATCCACAAAGATTTTCAGCACCCAACTGAGCAAGGCCCTAACTTTGAAGGCAGCTCTGCTCAGAGCAAGGAATTGAACCAGTTAACTTCCAGAAGTCCCACTTAACCTAACTCTTTGTGTAATAGTATGGAATAACAATATATTAGTTCCTCTTTCAAATATAAGCATGATAACAACAGTTCCTAAAATATTTATCCAGCCTCCAGGTACTCCCTATCCCAAATGAATTTCAGTATCTCCCAGCACCTGATTTCATTATCCTGCAGTGGCCTTTTCTTACCAAGATTTACATCCTCTGTTCTCTGCAACTTCAAAGAAATTGTGTACTAGCCTGATTTTTACAAATAATAAATAATAACTACATAAAAAATAAGTGCTTTAAAAGAATCTTTTTCCTTAGCACTAATTCAGTGGGTGATTTAATATAAAGAGGTGTAAGATCATTTTCCCTCCAGCAGCTATGTCATTTACACTCTTCAAAAACCTATTCTAAAAACCTGCTGTTGGAGTTTCTCTCATTAATCGAGCTAAATAAGTCCCTGAAAGCCTTTGGTAAAACAGACACTAGATTACATTAATTAATCATTTAAATTTTCTTCTGATCTTGCTGCGACTGCCACAGGCAACCCTGCCTCTTCAAAGATAACTACAATGCAAGAACAATAACTACAGTTCATAAGGACAGCAGAATTGAAGCAGAGGTACATTAGGTGAAAATCTGACCAATTTATTTACATCATATATCCTACCAATTATGTTGCTCTAACTGAAGTCAAAATACACTTCTGACTTCATTTGCACAAAACAATAAGAAATTAGGGGACATGGGTGTAGAAATATTTCATTTTTAAGGAATACATCTCTTGTGTATAAATAGAGGGAAGGCATATATTAACCTGAATGTACCAAAGGCAGTGACAGCACATGAGAATTCCTGTTTCCTAAATTAAGTTGGCTCTTCACTGTAAACCTCTTCATAGATTTGCTGCAACCAAAACCTGAGGTTCAGGTATCTGAGCATGCACTGACCTCCATGTTGCTTTCAACCTCCTACAACCTGTGCTTTTTCTTCCTAATTCTATTAATACTGATAATCTGATGCTAATTAAATATGTTTATCCATTATATTCCAAATTCAAACCCAGTAAAAATAAAAATACACATTACAAATTATTAAATAATTCTTATCAATATATCCTTTTCATAAAACACTGTTCATCAGTATACAGTGTTCATAAAAATCCTTTGGATATTGTTAGTGTTAAACTGGTTTACACAGGTGAACTGGAGTTACCTTTATTTTACATACTTCCATTCATAATATTCAATAATCAAAGATATTTGCAAAAGTGAGTAGCCATCAGCACACATCACTTGAAAGAACTGAAAAATTCTAATTTTTTGTGTGATCACACCTCTTACAATTTCATACAAAGGCTCCACTAAGCTGTTAGCATACAAAGCTTCCAGAACTTCAAGAAGTATTATGATTTCCCTTAAAAACAAGATCTAGGATCAAGTACCCAAAATTCACTATCACCATCGGGTGGTAAATTACCAATATGTCTGTCCTCCAGCAAAAGTCAATAGTGGGGTGCAGTGATTTGTCTCATTTTTATGCCCACAACATACATTTGGTGCTGCATATTTTGATAAAAATTATAAAACACAGCACACTGAAGAACTTCACTGTGAAACCTGCATGCTGGTGAGAAACCTGCATTTCTGGGTGAGAAAGAGGAGCCCACCCCACTAAAAGTTAATATCCTCCTTGTAATTCAGGCAAGCACAAGAGAGATGCTTGCACATGGTGTGTCAAAAAAATAGCATATCTTAGCATGTAAGGTCACTTAGCTGTCAGGAACAGAAGCAGAAACTGCCTCCTAGACAAATGATGAACAAGAAAACACAAGGCTGAGTAGGAAAGGAAAGAGAGAAAAAAATCTAATTTAAGCAAATTTAAACAAGATGTACAGTACACACTAGATCCAAGACCTGTCCCTGGAGACTGGCTGGTGTTTATCTACTCAGTGACAGTATAGGACAGGAACCTTTCCAAAAGATGTCTTGAATTTTGCTGTAGAGTTCTGTCAGGTGAAAGAATTTAATAGTGTGGATGTGATCAGACTGATCAAGACCAGAAAACAATTTTGTTTATGATGACGACGTAGGTTGTTACAGACAAAAAGATATATTTCAGATGTGATCCTGGGATGGGTGAACCAAGTGCAGTTTGACTAACCCTCGATCAAGTACTTGAAAAACTTGTAAATATTCTCAACATTATTTATTCTAACTGTAACTTTAGTGGTGATGTGCAGTTTGAAAGCAGCCAACTACCATGCAGCTATTCCAACTTCCGGTAGTGTACTTAAAACTGAGGAAGTAGAACACTTGTGCAGGAACCAGTCCCCAGGATGTATTCTCCAACACACTCAGAAAGTAACAAGAAGTTTCTCGTCCAAGTGCACGGTTTATAGAATCATAAAATCACAGAATAGTTAGGGTTGGAAAGGACCTTAATATCATCATGTTCCAACCCCCCTGCCATGGGCAGGGACACCTCACACTAAACCATATCACCCAAGGCCTCGTCCAACCTGGCCTTGAACACTGCCAGGGATGGAGAATTCACAACCTCCTTGGGCAGCCTATTCCAGCGCCTCACCACCCTAACAGGAAAGAATTTCCTCCTTATATCCAATCTAAACTTCCCCTGTTTAAGTTTTAACCCGTTACCCCTTGTCCTGCCACTACAGTCCCTAATGAAGAGTCCATCCCCAGCATCCCTAGAGGCCCCCTTCAGATGCTGGAAGGCTGCTATGAGGTCTCCACGCAGCCTTCTCTTCTCCAGGCTGAACAAACCCAACTTTCTCAGCCGATCTTCATATGGGAGGTGCTCCAGTCCCCTGATCATTCTTGTGGCCTCCTCTGGACTTGTTCCAACAGTTTCATGTCCTTTTTATGCTGAGGACACCGGAACTGCACACAATACTCCAAGTGAGGTCTCAGGAGAGCAGAATAAAGGGGCAGGATCACTTCCTTCGACCTGCTGGTCACGCTCCTTTTGATGCAACCCAGGATACAGTTGGCTTGCTGGGCTGCAAGTGCACTAAAGAACAGTCTGGGAAGAGAGCATGGCTCCCAAAAGCCAGTGACAGAATCACAGAATCATAGAATAGTTAGGGTTGGAATTGACCTTGAGATCATCTAGTTCCAACCCCGCTGCCATGGACAGGGACACCTCACACTAATCCATGTCACCCAAGGCCCTACCCAACCCAAAAAAACTCTCTGACACAGAAGAAGCATGCTTCAATCCATGGCTTCCTGTGCAGTTTGTGACAGTAACATAAAGACAGCACCTCTTCATTTCAATCACATGAAAGGTGTAGCTTGGAAGGACCACTGATGTCTGAAGACTAACACCTGCTCAAAGCAGAACAAATTAAAGTTAGATCAGACTGAACAGGGTCACATCCCAGTGGATGCAGAAAGTGGATATGTGGTCTAAAGTTTAGTTGATGCCCATGGGGAGGCAGTGGATCCTCACCAGCACTAAAGGCACCACTGAGCTCCCCATTACATCAGACTGAATGACTTCAATGAAATTTAGGCAGGGTGAATCTCACTCAGAAGCTGTTTCCATGGAGGGTGCTATGATTCCCTTCATTTGAAGAAAATAAATGTATAACATACTTATACAGAAACTCCCAGAATGGTGATTAACAGTAGGGTGCCACGAATCAGGCAGAACTCAGCCTTTATTTGTGAATTCTCTGAAATCAGGACAAAGCCACAAAGGAAAGGAAGAGGAATGCTGCAAGATAGAAAGTACTTCGTGATTAGTGATAGGCAAAGATTTAGAATCAATCAACAAAAGGAATGCAGTGCTGTTTTACAAGGCAATAATCCAGTTTAATTCCCTAAGGTAAAGCCTAGGAGAATGAAGGCCAAGTAGTTTTTTCAAACAAGGCAACTTGATTATTGCCCCATAAAACAGCATGGCACTGTGATTATTACCTTTGTGTTACATGCCCTTTAAAAATGTTTTTCTCCATAAATGTTTAAAACCTAACAAGTAAAAAGATCAGAAGAGAAAGGGGACGTAGGGCTAGAAGGTAACACATTTAATGTTTTCTTCTAATTTCCTGAAAATGTATCAAGTGAGAAATGTAAAAGAAGCAGTTTCAGTCAGGGTTGTTATAAAGAGCAGCAATAAATCTTATTAATAAGCAGTGTACTAAGATTTTACGTCTCTCTAATTCTTCACACATACGTTGTTTCCCCCCTCTGCTAGTTTTCTCCCTTTTCACACTCATGCAATTGCATAAGCAGTTTTTCTTCATCTAGAATTTTTCCTAACATATTTAAATTTCATATTACACACCACATTTCACCAAACCAAAAGCAAGGCAAAAACTCAGATATCTTGGAGAATCTCATTAGCGATCACCCATAAAACTTTAAACCCAATTAGCCTTTGTAACCTCCAAAAGAAAAGGACATTTGGAGAATACAGAGCATCAGCACCTGAATCCACACCTTGACCTGATTGACAAAAGGCAGTGGTCCCACAGCCAAAAATCACTTGGCCTTCTTTTATTTAGAACAGACATATTTAGAACAAATTGACACTGCATCATAACCAGCAATGTAACAAAAAATTAATACACCTGCTAAAAAAATCATTCCTGATAAGACAACAGGAATACTCCAAGGATGGCCTGACTTCATCTGTAAATTAAAACCAAAGCATTAGCTTTGCTCACAGCAGCACTAAATACACATGATTCACTGAATAAAACATGCTTAAAAGAAGAAAATTCAGCAGACTCCCAAATAATTTGTTTCTGATATTATATTTAGATGTGTCACAGCTGTCTCACCAGTCTGGCATGTATGCAAGGTATTGAATTTCAAAGAAAATAACACACGGAACTTTACAAATATTTGATCTCTAAAAACTCTTCTCCATTTTAGAAATTTTGCAATTCCTCTAATAAAAATTTCTTTATAAAGACAAATAACCAAAACAAATATAATTTCAACTGACGTTGTTTTGAAAACATTAACTGGAATCCCACTGGGAAATTAAATGGAAATGTCATGTCTAATAAAGGGAGAGAATGATTCATAGACAAGAGTCTAACATTTTAAAGTTATGTCACCTACGTAATTAGAGGAGCCTGATTTTCCAAAGGACTAGTCTCTTACACCTTCCAATAGAATTAAAGCCTAAATACAAGCTTTGAAAGCCAGTTTCAACATATGTGCTTGAAATATTTGGCCACACTTGCAGAACTTAAATCCGGAAAGCCCTGAAAGCATTCCTGCTACCTAAGGTACGGAACAAACTGGCTTCCAACTGCTTCATAACTGTCTTTTCAGAATAACTGCTATCACCATTGGCAAAATTACAGCTTGATTTCAAAATACCTGAAGTATACAAAATATCTGTAATCATCCTTACAACAACTTAAACATAAGGTGTCCATTTAAAAATCTGCAACTTAGGAATCTGCAATAGTTGACAAGAAAAAATCCTTAGATAAAGAATTACAGGAAAGCTGACATTTCCTAGGCTGTGAAGAGGAGAAGCAGATTTTAATTTCACTTATTGTCAAAAGGATGCAGTCCAAGTTTTGTGCAAAACCAGAGAGAATGAAATAAGAAGCTGTGTGTAGATAGCAAAAGTTCAAGTCCTGCTATTACATTCAAGTCCCAGTACGAATTGTGACATGCAAGTTTAGACTCAACCAAAACGGGAGTTAACAATACAGAAAATGTTTTCCAGGCCTCCTCAATTTCATATAAAGCAAATTTTATCTGAAACTGCTAAGCAGTATCCCTGGGTTACCAATAAAACTATACATGAGATACTGTGGGAGCCTATTCATCAATATTAAAATCATTGTACCATTACACTGCATTACTGGACTTTCCTGGACAAGGATATTACTCAGTGTTTCCCAGCTATGGCACCCAAACTAGTATTTGCAGGCTGTCATAGGCAACCTGCAGGTGATCCATAAAAACCCAGTATTTTCAGGTTTATCATTAGCTTTGCAACTTTGACAGGAAGTTTGTAGTCCTCATCTGAGCACCCGTGGGAGTGAGTTAAAAACACTTTTTACATCATTTAACTGCTCAAAATGGAGCCAGGCTATAAAGTGTTTAAAATATAGCAAAGTGCTCTTTCTTGGTGGACCCTGTGCTGCATGAGAAGGTGGCAACACCTTCTTCAATTAAGTTGAGTTTCTCAGTTTCCTCTTCAGTGAACTGTAAGATGTGTGAGTTCTCTTTGGGGTGTAGCAAACTTGGACTGTGTTAATAAAACAGATCAGTCCATGTGCGACAAGGATTATTTGGCATCCTATTCTCCAGAGTGCTCAGCACCTGACAGCAGTAATGGGAGCCACAAATTTATTTGCAATGTGTTAAGAACAGAATGTTTGGAGATATAAATTCTCAGTAAAAAGGAAGGCAAGAGAAATATTAACTCAGACGCTGAGGGTACTAAATGAAGGTCTACTGACTTTAGTTACAGTGCAAGGAAGAATGGTACTGTGATAATAAACAAACATTATCACCTTCTTTATTATGACCATTAAAAAAGAAGCAAGTAAAATTAGAAAAGTAAGGAGATTAAATAAAGCAGAAGCTTAATAAAAACTCTTAGCAGTAGTTAGACGCAGTTTTGCATAGGACAAATTTCCTTTTACTGTTTAAACAATTAAAGAGTAAATCAAAGTAATTTTAAATGCTTAGGCATAAATCCCAAGCTATTCTATGACAAATCCATGACCACATCTTGTATTTCATACTGTTGGTACCATCAGTACTGGTTTTGTTCCCGATGCCGCACCATTAGGCACCGAGACCATAGACCCATATGAGAGTGATGTAAATGTGTCTGAAAAGGAGAAAAGGGACCTAGAACAGCAGCAGTGAGCTCTGGAGTGAAGCTCACAGCTTCCAAATGTCAGCAAGGAACTTTTCATGCTGCTGACATCTCAGAGGACCCTTAGGGAGAAGGACAAGAGCTTTGAGATGCATGTCATTGTTCGAGGGGGCATGACATGAGCTGAAGGTAAGAACAAAAGAACTAGAGCCAGAAGTCTCCAATTCAGGCACACTCATGTGACAGAAAAAGTCAGGAAAAAAAATCAAGCACTTTAGCAGAAAACACAAGTAAAAGAAATTGTGTTGGTCCTCTTCAAAGCAGTAGAAGGAGTTGGCTATTTTAGACAAATTCAGGTCTTGCTTTTCAGTTCAGTTCAGTTAGGATCATAGGAAGTGCACTCAGATTTTTCCATCTGATATTTTCATACTAGCACCTCATAAAACTTCTGGTCTCATCCTGAAAGAATTGCAAATACCACATTTTATTTTCACATGTCCTTCTGAAAGGCAAGTTACGCATTCAGCACGCCCATCACTCACATGTGTAACAGCATTACACAAAAGACTGCTGGAAGCCCAAAGGCCCATTTTAGAACAAATAACGGCATTACCTAACAAAATCCATAAAGTTTTTATACATAAAAGAGAAGTGACTTGTAAACAAAAAAACAGTGATTTTGAGGCAACATAAAAAACTCCAACTCCCAGCACAGGCAATGAAAAGGAAATGCATTACTAGAGGGGTAGGCAGACAAGGACTATCCACATTTGCTTGTCTCATTTTTATCTATTGCAAATGAAATGATAATGATTTACAATAAAACAATTACAGAGCCTTTGATCTTAATGTCGCTCAGAAATCCAAATGTAAGTGTACAAAGTAAGTCAAAGCCCAGAATAACTGGAAAATCTACCAGCAAAAAAAAAAAATAAATATTTAAACAAGAGCTATTATACTTGATTATAATGAAAAAGATAATGTTTTAATTATCTCTGAGAAGCATATGAGCATAAACCTTAACTTTCACTACAAACACCTCCCCACATACATACATTGGTACAGATACGTGCACCACAGCCCTCTCATCTTTAAGTAAAAACTCCTATGTGAAAGAGAGTTTAATAGCACACATAGTAAGTTACAGATAAAAAAAAGTGTATAAGGATTTTCGCAGTTATCCAGAAGAAAACAAAAATTAATACTGAACATGAAGAAAACTCCAAATGCATTAAAAAATCAAGCAAGTAAAGGGTGATTATGATCTAACATGCAGCAGTAATATCATAGGATTACCAACTCTTCAGACATTGTCCAAAACTGAATTATTTTAATTGGCTCTATTCCCTCAGACCACAGTCATACAGGACAAAGATAAAATACCCTCCTTTCCCTGTGAGCGTAAGAGGTTGTGTATTTACTACACAAGCATGAGGGCAAGGGAAATAGATGCCTCAGTAGTAAAAGAACTTTTTCTAACCAACAGCTTTCTGTTCCTAATAGCAAAAGCAATGTGACCACAAACAACATGAATGTGGGCACTTCTTGGAAGATCTCATCTACAAACATTTCCTCTTATCCCTGCTTTATTTGTCTTCCTTCCTACCATTCTTTGATTTTTTTTTCACTATATGATTATGTTAAAAATATTTTTTCATTTTAAAACTACCTTTGGCTGTTGAATACCCAGAAGATTTGTTTCAATGAGCTCCTTATAAAGGAATCCACAAAGCAAATACAAGCCTGGCCACTCCAGGGCATGGTATCCTGCCCTTTCATTATAAGACATGGTCAGCTGTAATGTTTTCTGGTAATATCATGCATAATTCCTGCCAGTGGGATTGCACCTGACTCCAGAGGATGAAACAGCTGAGGTAAAATATCACATGCAAAATTTAGCACTTCTGACATATGACCCAAAAGCAGGTAAAATATGCAGTCAGGAACACTAAGATTGCCTGTGATAGTAATGAGTATGCTGGCCATGCACAGAACATGCAAGTTTCCTATACAAAAAGGACAACACAGAGTAGAAGAAACTTTCCCTTTTTAGAACAAAAATTAAGGCAAGATAAGAGGCTGCAAGTTCACAAGGGAAAGACTGGACAGAGCATCATAAGCTTCCTTGCACTACAAGCCCGTAAAATCCAGAGGTGCCACTCCCTGGCACAGCTAAATATGGGGGTTGAAAGACTTAACACATCTCTCCTTTCTGCTACAGATTTCTTTCAAAATACTGTAAGAAGATTAAAAAAATAAAAAACCCAATTAAGTATCAAATCAGACTTTCCATGGATCACCTTTACAACTGGATGAACCTCACAGCACGGAGCTACTCCAGCCTCACCTCCATCACACTACAGGACTTGACAACCTCTACTGGTTACTACCACTCGTATTTACTGTTAGTAGACCCTGATGTTACCCCAACTTTGTTTGCCTTCCTAATCAAAGGGATCAGTTTTGGAATTAGAACAAACTGGAAGTGAACCCAACTGATGGAATGTAGTTTTAGAAATGTTATGATGTTTTGTTAAAGCATCATCCTTCCATTTGGGTCATGTTATCTGTTTTGGTGTTTTTTTTTATGTACTGTATCAATAATCATAAAAACAGGTTAGGAGATCCTAGAGAGAAAACGCAGTCCATCAGTCTGTCTCAAGATTGGACTACATGTTGTCACCTCTGACAGATGTTTGCTCAACCTGATTTTAATGACTGGTACACTTGGATACTCCAAAGACCCAGAGATCACTTATTCCAGTACTGTTCTATATGTTTCTGCAGAACTTGTTCCCTAATATCTACACTGAATCTCTTTTGACACAGTTTAAGTCCACTATGCCTTATTTGAGCCACCACAGGCATGGAGAACAGATTGTGACCTGATTTCCAGCAGCCTTCTACATAACTTAATAGTGTTATCACATTTTCCTTCCATTTTCCTTTCCTTAGGCTAAATTACTCAAATTTGCTCTTCTCACTGATTTAAGATGAAAAGGTTAGATGTAGATTAGATGTAAAGAACAAATTCTTCAATATGAGGTTGGTGAGATACTGGAATGGGTTGCCCAAAGAAGTTATGGATGCCCCCTCCTTAGAAGTGTTCAAGGCCAGGTTGGATGGAGCTTTGATCAACTTGGTCTACTGGAAGGTGTTCCTGCCCATGGCTGGGGGACCTCTGATAACTATCTTTGCTGTCCTCTGGTCTGTTTCCAGTTGGACCATATTTTTCATGAAATACAGTGAGAAAATCTTAAAATGTGCATTATTCCATATAATACCCTACCACTAGAATGAAAGGCAAATTGCAGAGAGAAGGTGCCACATTCATTCATACGGTCTTCTAAAATGTCTCATGTGGGACAGAGCAACCTGGTAGCATCACCACCACCCAGAGGACACACAGAAACACACAGAGACACTAAGAGCTAGATGCAATTATGTGCCTACAAAGGATTCTGCATACTGCTAGTAATTTTTAAAGAACATTGACCTCTTCCAGATTCAGAAAGTGAAAGGAAGCCTTTGATTTACAAACTCACTGCTTATGAGCACCTCAGTCATAATACAGCACTTCAAGGAGAAAATTAATTAGAATATACTGGTTTTACTAGAAACTATTCCACCTGAGGCTCCAATAGCATTGTATCATAGAATGAACAAATTTGCCTTGAAGTGCTTACCTCTGTCTGCCAACAATGAGGGGAAATGCCATGTGTTCTACATACATATACTGAAGATACTGACTCTTGCCCAATTCTCTCATGAGAGTCAAAAGAGATCATTTCACTTTAAAACCTCACTGAAGAACAGCCAAGACCACAAGAAAATGGATTCTAGCAGTTGTTAACTGTGTCTGTAAAAATATCCCTGCTTTTCATCAAAACGTATTGGTCAGACAAACTGCAACACTTTCAAAACTGCTGGTTAAAAAGTTATAAAGATCAAAAAGAACTGGCAAGATAGTTGGGCATTTACATTAGCATAAAGGCATCAAATATTCATTACAGCAGAGCACTCATTATGTCAGCATCTGAGTTAAATAACAAGAATAATGTTTCCCAACTATAAACTTAAGTACCACAACAGCCTCCTGCGACACAGTGGTTTTAAAGAGACAGCAAGACAGCATTGCAGGGAACCACATCACTCTCCCTGCTAAAATCGGTTCATTCACTGCAAATATATTGGCTTTTAGTATTTTCCTTTCAGATTAATTTACACAGAAAAAGTGCTAGAAAAAAGGAATTATATTGTACAGCATGAATCCATATGAAAGGGAAAACATCACACTGGGACAATGCATCTTATTGCAATATGTATCTTAAATGCAAAATTATACCAGTACTGTGAGTTTACAAGTTTAATGAGAGTGGGAAAAATAAAAAAAACAACCAAATCCAAGAAATATAACATTATGTAAGCTCATTTATAAAATCTTACTACACTGGGTGCACAAAAACAGAAAACAAGAGCTGTAAGAGCAGTAGGACACAATAGAAAGACATATATATCTCATTTCATGTCTTCTGGGGACCACAAAATTCTTATCTATAGATTATGAAGTGGAGCTCTTAGCTTGCTACCAAGTGTCCATGTTTTAATTGCTTGGAGAGTGCCAAAAAACTGTATGTAAGCATTAGGTCAGTCATACGAGATTACTCTTACAACATTCTTGCTCACTGGATAAAGCTATAGACAAAGTAATAAAAATGCTGCCCTCTTTATAAGTGCAGATATAAGCCAGTATTGGTTTTAAGCACAAACAGCACTGGTTTTCTTTTAAAACAGCAAAGCACTTGCAGTACCATGCTGCTGCTGGCAGCATGTTCAGTACAGCACATGCCTGTACCTCACTAATGATCGCTCCTTTCTTGTTCTGAAGCATCACAACCATCCAGCTGCTGAAGAAATACATGTCCTCAAAAGACAGGTCCTCTATCATCACTGGCTCCCTTCAGGAATCTCAGAGGGCTGTAGCCAAGAAGTTTGGCTTTGCTATACCTTTTATAACCAAGGTTTAAGTGTCTCTTTTCAATCTCAGAACCACAGACAGCACAGTACAAGGCAGATTTGTGCAGGATGGTGTAATTATCTATGTATGAAGACTATATGCAAGCAAATAATAACATCCAATTCTGCCTCCCAAACTGCAGATACCTGACATTATCTAGAACGCCAACGCAGAGTGAAAGGCAACCCATGCTGTGAAAGTAGCAAGCCTTAAAATAACAGTTACTAGTAAAGAAGTCCTCTTTCTCCTCAGAAATCCTTCCTGCCTTCTTATCTATGGAGATTAGAAAGAAGTGCTTTCCTAATCGGCAATGAATGAGCAATTCACAGTGTGTTTCCCCACTCCCTAGCGTGACCTTTATTTCCCATAACTGTGCTCAAGTGATAGCCACAAGTGGTGGTGGTAATGGATTCATCCGGTTGTGATGGCTGCATCTTACTCA